GGTGTGACTGTTGGAGCTGCTTTCTGTGCTTCATTAGCAGATCAGGCTCAGTTTTCTCCATCATCGCTGATCTGAGACGGTTAGCCCCCCCCCCTTCATGGTTTCAGCTGCTGCAAAGGAAACACTGCAGCCCCCCCACTCATCCACTGGAGCCTGAGGACTCTGTGACACCAGAAGCATTTCTGAGAGTCTGAATGAGGGGGGGGGGGGGTGAAAAACAAGCAGTTTTCTTTCTACTCTTTAATGCAGCTCAGTTAGATCTGAGTTTAGGCTTCAGGCTTTGCTCTGTGATGGATGTAGTTTATAAAAGTGTTGCTATTGTCCTGCTAGCGACATTGTTGACATTTTTTCCTCCAGCTGGTTCTGACCCAGACGCTCCTCATTCCTGACCCAAACTGTGTTGAAAGGAAATTCCTTCAGTGTTTTAGGTAGATGTTGTCCTTAAGGTGGAGATTTATACTTCCAAACCAGGTCGTCTGCATAGGTCGTCCCCCCGCCCTCCACAGACATTCTGCTGCACCTCTCCTAAATTGTAGGTGAGTGCAGACAGGAGGCCTCTGATTGGTCAGATCTACTTCTGCTCTGCTCTATGCGTATTTCCTGTTTGGTTCCTTACTGCCTTGTTTTGTTTGTCTGACCGCCATTGTGGAAAACTACTGGTGAAGATGGAGCAGCTAGCAGAGCGAAGCAGCCATTGTCATTTCAATGCTTCTTTCTTTAGTGGAGAACAAAACATTTCAGATGAACCCAGAAACATTCAGACTTTAGAAACAGTTGAACCCAAATCAGATGAAAAACTCCATGAAGCTCGAAGTCAGCAGAGCAGAAGCTGCTGTTAACATGAAGCTTTATGCGGTTTAGAGTCAGCAGCTTGGTGTGAGCGCTGCTATAACCTACATCTGCTGAAACTGAGCCTGGTTCTGCTGCAGGTTTCCTCTCCACACTCGCTGCATGCATGCTCAGTGTGAGGGATTGCTGAACAGTCAGTGTTTGCTGTCTCATCCAGTAAATCCAATCAGCTTTGAACCTTTAATCTGAGCAGGTGATCTAGTTGGATTGATTGAATCTAGACGCATGGCGCCATAACTCTATGAGAAACTGTTTATTTTCTTTCTTTTTCTCTTTTAAATCCGTATCCTTTAATCAATACTCATTTATGTTGATTATTTTCCATGCTTTATAGAAGCTGTGATCTATGCTCTATTCTCCTCTGTCCCGTTCCGGCCCTGACATCCATTCCAGACCAGATCTTCTCTGGATCCGTCCCATTCCCAGAGGACCTAGCTGCTATCTGTTTGGCTGCGTTCTCACAGTGCATTCTGGGTAAACTTCTGCTGTACGCTTTTTTCAGGAGACGGGACGCTCAGAGTTTGGGATGTTAAGGCCGCCGTGTGCCGATTGGCTGTCCCTGCTCACAAAGCGGAGATCCTGAGCTGTGATTGGTGTAAATATGACCAGGTGAGCATGTATCATTCATCCAGCTGGACCAACTTCTTCTATTTTATTTTTGAATAAGAGTAGGAGGACGTTTCTCTAACTTATTGCCATTAAATTATTTTATTTATTTATTTTAGACTTGATCAGCTTTATTCAGCGATATTAAAACGATACTAAAATTAGTTTTAGTGCAGCTTTCCAGACCGTAAACGAACATTTCCGTTCCATAAAGTCCAGCAGTGATCAAATCATTGGATTGAAACGGTTTTCTTTAAAACTTTGACGTATTTCTGGATGTTTATCTGAGCAGAATCTGTTGGCCACCGGTTCTGTGGACTGCAGCGTGTGCGTTTGGGACCTGAGGAACGTCCGACAACCCGTCAGCCGCCTGCTGGGACACACCTACGCCGTCCGCAGGGTCAAGGTAGGTGGAGGGCTGTGCTGGTGTTACTGGTTCCAATGGTTGGAAAAATCAAAAACAATCTAGAAATAACTAAATATTTCTTAAATTAAGTGTAATTTGCCTTTACTTTGAGAAGGAAAGTGTAATAATTTATTAATGGAACGAGTATTTTTACTCTTAAAATTAGATAATTCGATAATATGCAGTTTAAATAAGAAAATGCAATTGTTCTTATTTAAAAAAATAAGAACAATAAAAAAAAAAACTAATCTAGCTGTAAAGTTTTTGCAGTTCAGGGTCTGATCCTAAACTGTTTCTCTGATCAGACCTGAGCGACGTTCTGTTTGTCCTGACGGCATCAAACCGCCATTTTAATGGAGCTAATAGGAACACACGGTGGGGGGGTGAATGCTCTGTGTTCACTGCAGAATCTAGAATCCAATTATCTGCATGGCAGCGGCTGACTGACCGCTTGATGCTCAGAGGGAAACAGAAGCGCTGCTTCAGCTGGGTCGCCCTGAAGGGAGGCAGGCGTCGCCGATCGATGGAGACGACTCATCACCGCCGTCAGACGGCGTGAAGGGATCAGTGTCCTGCTGCTGGTCCAGCAGGGAGGGGGGGGGAACTGGTGACTGCATTACCAGCCCGGATCATCACCCCTCCTCCAATCAGGAGCTGGTCGGCTCCAGTTCCTCCGCTTCATGGTGGAACATCTCTAAAGAACCTGCTGCCCTCCTCCATCTGTCTGCTGATTGGCTCATGGCTTCGCTGGAGGAGGAACCAGAGGAGCAGAACTTCCATCTAAGCAGGAAACTGGATCCAGCCAAGTCTCTGGGTTCTGGACGGTTCTGGGAGGCAGCTGCAGGCTTGGCTGTGCCTCTCATTTGAGACCAAAGCTCTCTGAGGCCCCCCAGTAAAGACCGCCCAGTCTAACCAGAGCCGAACGTCGCCACCGTCCTGTTAACCCCGTCCTTCCTCTGTGTCTCTGAGCCGCCCTGATCTGGAACAACCAGCAGGTTCCAGACCCAAACAGCCTCTTAGTTCTAGTCCTGAGGTGGTTCTGCTAACCTTTGACCTCCTAGGTTACACCCTCACCTTCAGAGCTGAATATACCTGAGAATGGCTAAAACTGGCCGTTTCTAAGGAATCTGATGATGGATGGATGATGAATGAATAGATGATGAATAGATGATGCGGTTCTAACTCGGATTGTTTCCTCCCCAGTTTTCTCCGTTCAGTCAGACGCTGCTGGCCTCCTGCTCCTACGACTTCACGGTCCGGTAGGTTCCATTCAGTTACGCCTCAAACATCTTTGAGTTTTTATTCTCTTAACAAATCTGTTCATTTTTCTACATTTAAAATTTTCATTCACAAACAAAGAAGTTTAGTATATTTACACTATAAAATGGAAACAAAGACGTTCAAGCTAAACAGGAAACTTCTGAATGTTTCATTTCTAAGTTGATATTAAATCCCATTCTGCTCCTTCTGATTGGATGGAGGGAGGGAGGGAGGGAGGGAGGGAGGGAGGAGTGATGATGATGATGATGATGATGGAGGGAGGTGGTGTGTAAGATGAAGACATGATGAGCTGCAAACAAAGCGGTTGTAACGTAACTTCAAACTGTTCAATAGAGAAAAAATTAAATATTTTTAATTTATATGTAACTTTTTGAGAAGTTATTTTATATCCTTAAATTTGAATTAGTTTAGTTAATTTTCTGTTAAATGCCGTTAAAATAAAAACTCCTGTTTAGCTGCAGCAGAATGGATCAACTCTACGGAAAGCCTTTCATTCAGAATCAAATAAACAAACACTGCTATCGATAAATTGTCAGTGAATATTCCATCAAATAAATAAACTCCCAGTCGGCATGCGCGTGCACGTGACTCATGCTGATTCACGCGCACGTGACTCAGCGTGAGTCTGTGTTGCTGACGGAGAATCTGTTCAGCTTTTGTCTAGAAGTAGATGAACTCCTCCAGGTCTGAATTCCACAAGGAGCGGCTCCGATCAGGGAGTCCATGTTTGAAGGGCAGGAAGTAAAAAAAACAATGATTAGTTTAAGGAAGAGTTTCAATGTTTCTAATGAATAATAATAATAATAAACAATAAATAAATAAAGTTGTTCATCTTTACCATATAAAAGAAGAAACCTTTTCAGGAAGGAATGTCGTCTGGTCAGTTTCCTCACTTCATTCGTCACAAACTTTTCTCATCAACATACTTTTCACAATTTAATTTTGTTTTTTTTGTAATTTAACTTTATTAATTCCTCCATTTTACACGTTTTTTCAGTTTTAAACTTTTAATTTCACCTTATTTTATGCCCTACTTACTTTTTTTTCTGTAATAATTTAGTAGTTTTTTTATTTTTAGCTATAAGTTATTAATTTCCTGTAAAAATTTAGAGTTTTGTTTCTTTAAAAGCACCGTTGAAATTAAACTTCATTATTATAACTTAGTATAGTTTAAGTTTAATGTATAATAAAGTATAAATATTTTTAGTATCAGGTTTAAACTCTGCCTTTTTGACTTCTTATTTTAACCCTTTTCTCTCTGGAGCTCAGTTTCTTTGAACTCTCCTCTCATCCATCCATCATTTTAAACTGGTTTTTTTCTTTAAATCTGCAAGTTTCTTATCTTACCTTCTTTTTTAGCGTCTAAATTCAACTTGGTTTATTTTATCTTTAACATTTTTCTATTTCAACATTAACTAAAAAATTTCTTCTTGGGCAGTTGACAATTCTCTGGAACCTTGCCTTTTGTTTTTCTACCATAGAACTGCAAAACCTTTCCCATTATCTACAGGTAATTTACTGGTTTCCAATATACACACCATTCCTCTGGTGCCGACCTGGATAACTGGGGGGGATCCCACTCTAGATTACCAACGTCTCAGTAAAATGAAGTACCTTCTGGGGGCACCTACACCCTTCCTCTCACCCTTAGAGAGAGCCTCACGTTCCTCTGCGAGGTCTTTTGGTTCACAGGTGGAAAAACGGGCTGTCCATCAGAGCGGCGTTTCACCGTGTTATCGATCCACTGGCTCTATGCTGAGTAGAGGTTTTATTATGAGCTGATTCACACTTTGAGTCTCTCAGTGATGAGATGTTTTCTTTGCTCCTCCACTGAAAGTCTGACCTTATAAAGACGGACCGTTTATTTCGGTATCGGCCGATTCTATCATTGCGTCTTCAGATCACCTGATGCTCCATCTGTCTGCTTTCTATGGCTCATGTTTGGATGCATCTGTTAATAAAAGTTTATTTTCTCATGACATTGAGACCCGTGTAACATTTGGCGTCAATTATTCATTTTTATCGTGTAATCAGAGGAAATCTGCAGCGGACGTCGTGGTTTGGTGGTAAATTCTGTGTATCAGCATTAGAAAACCTGCATCCTTTGATCTGAGCCGGACCTCACAAACACATTAAACCCAAACCTGTCATCCAGGTGACGCGCCCAGCAGCAGACAGTCAGGTGAAGGTTATAAGCCCCTCCCCTTCCTGAAAAAGGCTGAGAATCAAAGCTCAGACGTCTGGAAGGCTCTGTATTCAGGCCGTTTCCGTCTCTGATCACAGACACTTGAAGTTTTCTACGTTGTTACCATGGTTACTGCCTCATTTCCTGCTCACAGGTCCTGTGATCGCAGGGTTACCTGTAACCGCGGTGACCTGTTGAATAAAAGAGCCAATCACAGACAGGTTGAGATCATCAGCTGATGAGGGCAGCATGTTTGCTCTAATGACTCCACCGTAATTATGCTTTGCTTTCTACGGTGTGATGAGTAAATATGGTGAAAGTTGACAGTCTGATGATTTCATTACTAATCTGATTCTCTCTGTTGTGTTCGGCTCAGTAAAGCCTCTGCTGTGTAAACACACCTGCTCAGAGCGCAGGAAGCTCGTTAGAGGACGCAGCTTTTCTCTGTTCCACCTGCAGCTTCTTTAAATGCTGCTGTATGGAGGGAATTTTGCTCCATCATTATATCCATTATCCAAAAAACATCTTGTAAATTAAAACATAATAAAAATGAAATCAAGAAATGAAACTTTGCTTATTTAGCTGTTTTCTCCGAACAGATTTTATATTTTTACATTTTGATTATTTAAACTATATTAGTTCTACACATTTTTCACATTTTCTACATTTCTTTTCAAATTTCTATTTTTCGGAAACTTTCACTATTTTATTTTGCATTTGACGAATCCACAGATTCTCTTTGTTTCCAGCCTGATCCAAACGCTCG